CTGGGCACGGTGGTACACACCTGTAATCTCACTGCCCAGAAGAAGACTGAGGTAGGAGGACCTCAAGTTCAAAGCCAGCCTCAGCAACTCAGCAAAACCCCATGTCCAAATACATACATAAAAAAAAAAAAGCAATCAAGCAAAAGGGAATGTAGCTCAGTAGAGCACTCTGGATTCAATCCCTAGTACCAAAAAACAAATTTAAAAAAAAAAAACACCAAAGCCCATGTCCCTCTTTTAGAATTAAGACAGCTATCTTAGGAGTAACGTATCAACTGATCAGAAATAGGTTGGAGGCTGAGAGAGTGCTTTTTTTGAAAAGCTACATCAGAGAAACTTCTTTTTTTTTTGGTGCAGGGGAACAAACCCAGGAATGCTAGGCAAGTGCTCTACCAGTCAACCACATCCCCAACCCAGAGACTTTAATTATTATGGTACTTAAATAAGTTTACCACATTCATGACACATGATGTCCTACAGCCATCTTCTTTTCCTGTTTCAAAAAGAAAAAGCAGAACTTACAAAGTTCTGAAAGTCTTCTAAAAATATGGGTATCAAGTTTACAAGTTTCCTTAAATACTAACTTTTGCTGCATACTTCTTTGACCACTGGCTATTTGAGATATTCAGATTTCTAATCTATATACTGTTCTTAATTTGCTCAAGCAACAAAGCCCTGGTAGTAAAGATAGCAAGCAAAATTAAATAACAGTAGAATTTAAAATCATCTCACCACAGCACATTACTCAGTGAGCTTCAATTTTTGCCCACAGAGCTTTTACAGGTGTTATGGCACAAGAACCCAAGGTTTACAATGTCCAAACCCAGGACTTCATTCACAAACATAACATATACAAAGCTGCCCCTTTATAACCTTTAAGTGCCCCCAGAACCTGCTGAAGACAACCATTTAACATTTTTCAACAAAGTTCTTCAATGTTAGTGGAAAAGCTACCAAAGATATCAAATCAATTATCTAAGTTTTATGTTACTTCCTTACACCATAAACTTGCATCAAACTAACCAACTAAGATTAGCATCTATAAAACAACTTTACTCCAGCCATTAGCACATCATTTTAGAGTCAGTTTAAACAGAGATTTTCAATCAAGGGTGAATCTACTGGGCCTCAAAGGACATTTGACAAAGACTACAGATATTTCTGACTATCAGAATGAAGGAGAGGAGGCTGCTGTTACCTAGGAGAGGCTGATAATGTTGTTCAACAACCTACTATGTATGTACAAGACAAGTTCCCAAAACAAAATGTCAACAGTGCTCAAGTTGGAAAAAAATCCTGGCTTAAAGTAAACTTCTAGATTAGATGTTGTCACTTACTAGGTCTTACCAAATGAGAATTCAGATCTCAGAAAAAAGTCAAATCTAGAAATTTCTCAAATAACCTCTTGGTCATTTCTTCCTGTAACCAAAAAATAGGAGATCATCATAAATTGTCAAAATAGTATTCACAAATGGGGACCTTAAGACACTGTGTGCAAGTTACTGATCCAGAACTAGGGCGTGGGCAGCTTTGATAAATCATACTTCCTGGAAAAAATAGTCATGAGTGTAGCAAAAAACATTAGACCACAAAAATTGGTAAATTTGGACTTATAAAGCTGGTCAAAATTCAGGAATGGCCCTGCAGGACATTTCTCCATCCTAGCTTAAGGGCCCTCACCCCTAAAAGTTTCCAAATCAATTAAGACCAGCTTTCAATCTTAGACAGCTTTTCCTTTCCAAATGTTCAGCTTACTTCAGTCCACTCACAATAAAGGAGAGAAATCTGAAGCTTTTCAGAACCAAAGAGACTCTATCACCCACAAAAAAATGCTGTTAAATGTTAACATTTGCCCTTACACTAATGGGAAAGACCAAATTAACCATGCAACTTTTCCCCTGAACTCTGATTTCTGAGGAACAAGCAAACACATTAGGCATAAGGATATTACAAATACTGGAGTGTTCAGCTACCAGACACAGCTCAATACTTTTAGTTTTGCTCACTTTGCCAAAATGAGTATGTACTAGCATTCAAAATCCTCAATAATCAATTTTACCCTCTACTTTTGTTTTAACCCCATAGGGTGGTAGGGTCTATGCAAATCCATGAATTCCACCCTTGTGGAAATTGCAAACTAAAGCAAATAACATCTAAACATTAAGCTAACATGTAAATGTTTCTGTGTGATGCAGGCACATACACCTGTAATTCCAGCATATTGGGAAGCTGAGGCAGGAGGATTTTAAGTTTTAGGCCTGACTGGGCAAGTCAGCAAGACTCTGTCTCAAAATCTAAAAAAAGAACTAAGTAGGGATGTACCTCAGTGATAAAGCAACCCTAGACTCAATTCCAAGTACCATCCCCCTCCCCAAATATTTCAGTTGACTAACAAACTATAAAACTTTTTTTTTTTTGGTGGTGGTGCGGGTTGCACCAGGGACTAAACCCAGGGGTATTTGGCCACTGAGCTACATTACCCAGCAGTATTTTATTTAGAGACAGGGTCTCACTGGGTTGCTTAATGCCTCCCCTTGCTGAGACTGGCTTTGAAATAGTGATCCTCCTGTTTCAACCTCTGGAACAGCTGGTGTGCCACCGTGCCAGGCTAAAACTGTTTTTTTAATCAAGATTTTACCCAAGACTCCCTGTTGGATAAATTGTAAAACTATCTAGACCTGATCCACCACAGCACAATACTAGTTATCAGCACAGATCAGGCAGCAAAATGAAGGGTAACTGATTTCTATAACTTTGTCAGAAGGATCCCAGGGACACCAAAGCCAGTCTCACCAACTTAGTGTGACCCTGTCTTAAAAGTAAAAAGGTAGCTCAGTGGTAAAGAACCCATAGTTTCCAAAAAAAAATCTTCGCTACTGATAGATCAAGTTCCTGGAACTACTAAAACCAAGAGGCAGTTGATAGTGTTCATAACCCTCTTCCAATTTTGATGGAGGATCAGGGTGGTGGGGAAGTCATTTTAAAAACCAATTTAAATAAATAAGGTGAGCTAAAGAAATCAAATCTTTTTTGTTGTTGCTGTTTTGGGACAAGGTCTGGCTAGGTTGCTGAGGCTGGCTTTGAACTTCAAATCCTCCTGCCTCAGCCTCCTGAGCTGCTATGATTCAAGCGCCCCTAGTTCCAATCCCTGGTACCCCCCACCAAAGAAAATAAGAAAAACAAATGGCTATAAAAACTTCTATCCAAAATCTACATTTTGAAGAGAAAAATAACCAGAATACTCAAACTAACTTCAAGTTCTTACTTTGACTTAAATGAACCTCTTTCAACTTAAAAAAAATCAAGCCCCTCCCGTGTACAAAGCTCTGTTTCAATAACTAATACAATGGCGCCCTTGTTCCAACAGTCCAGTTGCTCAGCCTGCAACTTCGGTATTTACTTACTAGAAGAATACTTTCTCCAAAGATGCCTGTGAGTTCCAAAGAGCTGTTTTTAACATGGATCCAAAATTCTTAAATTTGAGAGCGCCTAATTGTTTTATATTTCCTTTTTAAAATTTTCTGTCAAGAAAACTACATGATGATTCTGCATTTAAGATAGCGGCTCCGAACAATTCAAACTTAAAGGACCAATAAAGAGTGGAGACTCACCTCTAAATCTTTAATTGGCTATAGTAACCTCAGTTTATGGCATTTGCAATCTTTTGGACTTCAAGAAACGCGCCTGGGGCTTACATAAATACACAGAATTTAAAAATAAAAGCGCAGCTCAGTAAACATTTCAGACCTACTAAAAATTACACAACTCCCACGAGGACGCATTTAGCGTTTACGAAGTTGCAAGGAACATGCTACAGATTTGAATTTCCCCAGTTGTTTGGGCCAAAAAGACCCTTTTCTTAAAGGGGGTTGGGAGAGGCGCCAGTTTGGAGACTACCACTGACTTTTGTTTCATAATGAGTAAATTTCACGTCCACCTTCCAGTCACCAATGGAAACCAACGGAAGTTTTATGAACTTGTAATATTAAAACACATTCTGGGGTTTTCGAGAATCAGTCAAGGAGACTGGCCAAGAGACTACTCAGTATCGGTATCAGGCAGTAGAGGAGTGGTTCCTAAGTAAGGTCCTTCCAGCATGCGTGGTCCTCGCCCCAATGGGAGAATCGGGGGTCACCGGGATGACCCCGGGCAGTCTTCAGATGGAACAGAGCAGAAAAGGGGTACCAGATCTCGCAGGTGTTACGGTACTGGGGGGGAGGGTTGGGGTCCAAGAGCAGCCAGGCCCCTGGGAGAGGGTGGAGAAAGGAACAAGGCTCCGGGAGGTCGACTGGGCCTCCCGTCCTGGAGACTGAGGGGAGGACCTCACCTTGTTACGGTCCTCCTCCTGCTGCTGCAGCAACTCGGGAACCGCGGCCATGGCGACGCGGGCCTAGAGCAGGGGCCGCCTGGCTGTGCGAGGAAAGAAGAGGCTGGGCCACCACCGCCGGGGCGCCTCTCAGGGGCGACCGCGGCCCCGCCTCCGCTGGCCTCCCTGCCCGACGGCGGCAGGAGGCCTTGGGACTCCGCCACCATCCCAGCAGCCCCGGGAGCAGGCAAACGGCACGCCACGTGCTCCCCTAGAGCGGCCTCCCCGTCCCGGCTGCCGTCCATCTTGGAGCCGGGCAAAGAAGTAATGCGGGGCCTACCCTCGCTCCGCACCACGCGGAGACCGCTGACCCGAGGACTGCGACGCGGAGCGGAGCCACTGACCCTCTTCCTGCGAGGCACGCTTCGACAGAGAGATCACGAACCTCTACCAAGCAATTTATTGCTCAGCCCGAGTCCAAGATGGCGACGAGAGGTGACGTATGCAAGATCTCGTGAGAGAGAAAGTACGAGATTTGGTGTTGCCCGCGCTTCAGCACGAGGGGTGGGACTCCCTATGGGTTGCTTGCCTATGGAGGCTTGAGAAAGGGCAGGAGGTGGGGCGTGAGCGCCGCAGTGCATGACGGGGCTGTCTTGCCTGGGGCGGGGCCTGACTCCAGGCCAAAGCGCGGGACTGATAAAAGTAGGATTCCCGAGAAGGTGTTGGCGCCCTGGGAGTTAACAAAGCGTGGTGGCGTCCAAGGTACTAACCCTGCTGTAAGCTGACGTTCTGTTTCAGTTGTAACTCTTCCCTGAGCCACATTCTCCCCACACGGCCCACAGGCGCTCTGTCCCCGCCGTGGGTCTGCACCTGCGGTGGAGCAGGACACCACGTTGTCCGGATAGGTCGGTGGGCCCTGCTGACCGCGGCTTACTAGCACCGACCTGTAACAAGGCCACCTTTCAGAAGTTCGAATTTCACGTCCGTAAAACGGCATCACTATAATGCCCACTTTAGAGGGTGTGAGGATTAAATAAGAAATATCCGTACAGAATATTTAACAAAAAACCTGATATTTAGAGATCCATAACTACGACTCGCGGCTTTTGCAGGACGCTTTCCATCGTTCTGTTTTGCGGTCTCCCAGGAAAACCTTCCTTCCTGAGCGTCGCATCTCTTCAGATTAGGGGCGTCTTGCCCAAACTATCTACTAGTTGGCATTTAATAAGTGCTAGCCTTTCTGGGATTGATTCTTTCATGGGAAATAGCTTTCTGCAAACACGTCGAAAAGGTTTACTAAATACAGTTAGATATGCGACGTGATTCCGATGCAGCTTTCACTGGTGGTTCAAATATGTTATAGGTCTGGTATCTAACACCACTTTTCTTTTTAATAGGAATACAAAATAAAAAAGGTTCTCGACATTGCAGAGATAGAAGTGAAAAAAAAATCCAAAGATGAAGGCATTTCAGACCATTTGCAGGCATCTCAGAAGTGTAAAGGGGTTTTCTGTAGAGCCAGCTCCCCTTGTGAATTTCTCCACTTCCCTTTATTCATGTGGCCGGAAGAAAAAAAACCCTTATGAAGAAGTGGACCAAACAAAATACTCTAGTTTAGTAAGGTCTGTTTTGTCATTCAGAGGCCTTGCCCAGACTCCAGAATCATTGTTTGAGGAAGATTGTTTACTATATGGACCCGTGAGTAAACATAAACTCTCAAAGCAAGATAAGGGGGCAAGAGTCCCACGAAACTGGTTTCCCATCTTCAATCCAGAGAGAAATGACACTTCTGATCCAAATGATTCTTCAATGCCTTTGAAAATCCCTTTGCAAAGGAATATGATACCAAGTGTGACCCGGGTACTTCAGCAGACCATGACATCACAACAGGTTTTCTATTTGGAGAGGTGGAAACAGCGAATGATTCTGGAGCTGGGAGAAGATGGCTTTGCAGAATACACCTCAAGTAATTCTCTTAATTCTGGTTCTATAATTTTTAGATTATAGAGAAAGCATTGGTATCAAAAGAATGAAGATGGTTTCTGTTGGGGGGTGGGGTACTAAGGATTGAATCCAGGGATTCCCTACCACTAGGCTACAGTTTCAACCCTTTTCATTTTTTAATTTTGAGATAGGATCTTGCTTTGTTGCTGAGTCTGTCCTCTAACTTGCCATCTCAGCCTCTCAAGTTACTGGGTTAGAGGTATATACGACTTTACCTGGCAGAATTAAGCATTTTTAACCTTACTAGTGAGGAACTATTTATTTAATTAGCATAAAATAGCACTTCATATGTATTAACACAATCCTCATGACAATCCTGTGAAACATAAACTAGTTCCCCATTTCATAGATGAAACTGAAGCACAGAGATCAATAATTTGACTACATGAACATAAAATTAATTTGTTTTATAAGCTACAAACTATATCAGAATTGGTTATTTTCCCTAATTATGGAAAAAAGTCACTTGATAATAAAATTCTCATTTGGTAGGCATCAGAATCAAATAAACACCTGTTCAGTAGATCAAGTGTAAACTGACGTAAATTTAAAGATCCTGGCAATAAGCCAGAACACATGGCCCATTATTCAGATATTCTTGATTAGGAACTAAAAGTAAATTAACTTTAGCTTTCAAGTCCTAAATTTCTTAGATGGGTAAGAATAGCTCCATTCAAAAACAAATGATTTGTTTAAGCCAATTAGCTGGTCCCATGAGGACAGTCTTGGTACCCACTGTGATCCCAGGTACTTCGGAAACTGAGGCTGGAGGATTACAAATTCAAGGCCAGCTTCAGCAAATTAATAAAACGCCCTATCTCAAAATAAAATGAAAAAAAAAAGTATGCATAAGATCCTGTTTTTTATCCCCAGCACTACCAAAAAAATAATTAGTTAATTTTTAAAAAGTGGGGCTAGGGAGTTAGCTCAGTGGCAAGATTTGCGTGTATGTTTTGTTCAAACTAAATTTTACATAGACATTCCTTGGCCCTTGCTTCCTCAAGATCAGTAAATATACCTCTAGTGGTACATGAGCGCTTTTCTTTTTGTTTTAAAAGTAGTATGCTTACTAGACATAGGGGCACTATGGTGTTTATAATCTAACATAGTGGCATTTGTGATTCCAGCAACTCAAGAAACTGAAGAAGGAGGATCACAAGACTGACCTCAGTATTTAGGGAGACCTCTAAGTCTCCAAATAAAAAGGGCTGGGGATGTTGCCCAGGGGTGGAGTACACCTGGGTTCAGTCCCTAGTACTGAAAAGGTAAAAGTAGTGTACTTATTCTCAAGCATTTTAGAAAAGATGATGTAACCATGCACACATTTTAAAGAAAATTAAGTATGACCAGTACATGAACCCAGGGGCGCTTTACAACTAAACTACATCCCCAACCTTTTTTTTTCAGGGGAACTAGAGATTGAACTCAGGGGTACACCAATGAGCTACATCCCCAGCCCAGCCCTATTTAGAGACAGGGTCTCACTGAGTTGTTTAGCGCCTTGTTTTTGCTGAAGCTGGCTTTGAACTTGTAATCCTCCTGCCTCAGCCTCCCAAGTTTCTAGGATTAAAGGCATGTACCAGCATGCCAGGCTCAGGGGCTGCCTTCTTAAAATGGGTAACTAGAGATAACCATGAAATTATTCTCCGCTTTCTAAATAAGCACCAAAAAACTCTTCTAATGACCTGAGTTTTGTATTTGTACCACTAGAATTTATGTTCCTCATGAGGAGTTGTTTTGATTTTCCTTAAACAACTTTCAGGAATCTGAATTTACTGGTAATTTAAGAATTGTAAAGGGAGAAACCTGCTGGGTCACATGGGAGCCTAGGGTCTGCAGCTCTTGGCACAGAGTAAGGAAATGCACTGGTGGCCCCCTAGGTAAAGGAAAGGAATTTCTCTTTGGATTGCAAATGTGCCCCTGTAACCCAGGGCGCATTTCAAGGTCAACTTTGTTGATCTAGATGAGCTTTCTGCTGTGTTTTTCTGTTAACTCCAGATCAACCTTCAATTCACTCTTTAAGAAAATAGGGGCAATCACATACAGATTAGTGTCATGTCAAGAAAGAGAAAAAAAGAAGGAAAGAGAAAAGTCACTAAATTGCTTACTGGGTCTAGAGAGGCAATCTGAATACTACTGGATTGATAAATTCTCTCTAGTGGATCCAAAGCCCAAAGCATAGGGATGTGCCCAGAGGCTCACCTTCTTCCAAACATTTGAGCAATTTCCAAGTATCAGTTCACTTTTTAAAAGAAGGGTGAGGATGAGAAAGTCTGTTACACTCAGATTTAAGTGTTGATCATGATGAAAAAGGCTGAAGTTTATTCCAATTTATTTGTTTTTGTTACACTCATTTGTTTTTATTTTGTTTTAGTGGTACTCTTCACATGTTCTGGGCAAGCACTCTACCACAACTACACCCTCCAGTCAACGCTAATTTTTTTTTTAATCCTAAAATATCAATTATCTTGCCAGTTCTAGCATCAGAATATTGACGATGCATGATTTCTTTTTAAATGCACTTGTACTGAGACTTAAAACATTTCACTTGCATTCCTTTATTGAATAAATACTCTGACTTGATGATACCTGTAATCTATTCTTGAATTATTTTTTTTTTCCTGGTGCCAGGGATTGAATTCATGACCTCATCTCAGACCAAATTTATAAACTGAGTCATGTTTGATGTTCTGAGCCGCATACTCTAAGGGACTCTGAAGTCTAGATTTCCTTGTGTGAGGTTACATATATTGAAGAATCTAGCCACGGGTCAGGTCTGCAGCAAAGAATGAATTGCCTGTTTGCATGGCAGTAGATAAAGCAACATTTTCTTATGTATGTTGCTGGGGAATACCAGCCACTTCACATATGCTGAGCAAGCGCTCTATCACTGAACTACTCCCCTTAGCCCTCTTCCTGTTTTTAACATGTTTATCTTCTGATTCATTAAGCTAGTCTATAGATAAATACCACATCTCTATTCTTTAGGTTTTAATTCCACCAGTCTTAAAATTTTTTGTAAGCTTTCTATGGGCTAATAATCCAAATTGAGCAAAGTATATGTAGAATAGAATAATTTATTTACTAAGTTGAATTCATCTTTAATTCTCCAAGTAATTTCCTAGAAGCAATGCCATTTTTTTTGCCAGTGGTAGAATTCAACTTTCAAAGTCTTCATAAATATACTTGACAAGGGCTGGGATAGAGCACTTGCCTAGCATATGTGAGACCCTAAGTTCAATCCCCAGTAGTGCAAAACAAACTTGAAAAACTTAACATGGTTTAATTTTACCTATTGGATGAGATTGTTTTTCTCCTTTTATGAGGGTCTGTCTCCAAGCATATATTATCTCCTACTAATTGTTGTGTGTATCTGAAAGGTGTTCTCTGAGTTTAAAATTCTTTCTTTGCTTGGGGTGAATTAAAAAGAGCAGATTCTGGTACCAAAAAAAATAAATAAGTGCAGAGGAAAACTGCCACATATTCTTCTCACCTCCCCATCCAAATTCCACAACATCCAAATATTTTTAATCTATGCCTGTCTTAAGTTTTAGTTGTAAAAAGAACTAAACAGAAGCATAGTGCCCTAAATTTCTAATGGTTTTTATTACAACCAGTTAAAACTCTTTAAATTGGGTACTTACACAGACAGTACCATAAATTAGATGTGGTCCTTAAGCCCCCCCAAGCCACCCCCAGATCTTCAGTTCTAGCTTTGGCTTAATTCTACTAGAAATATTTTATTTTAATGTGTTTCATTTCTAAACAGATCTGATCCCTTTGGTTTTTGAAAGTACATTCTTAGGGTCCACCAGAAGCTAAATTTTGGTATCATAGGGGTTGCCCCTTTCTCTCTTTTTTTTTTTTTTTTAATTGGTACTGGAGTATTTCACTAAACTACTTCCCCAGTCCTTTTTATTTATTTATTTATTTTTTTTTAAGAAAAGGTCTTGCTAAGTTTAGGGCCTCACTAAATGTCTAAGGTTGGCCTCAAATTTGTAATCCTCCTGCCTCAGCCTCCTGAGTCACTGGGATTATAGGCTTATGCCACTGTGCCCTGCTAGGGTTGCCTCTTAAAGGTAACTTTTATGAATTGTGTGTTTTTGTTGTTGTTTTTTGGGATTTGGGGTTTTGGTACTGGGGATTTAACCAATATCATGGATGCTTTACCACTGAGATACATTCCCAGTCATTTTTATTTTTTTATTTTGAATAAGGTTCTAAGTTATTGAGGCTAGCCTCCAATTCGTCATCCTCCTGCCTCAGCCCTCCCCCATTCGCTGGCATTACAGGGCTGTGCCACCATGCCTGGCAACTTTCATGTGACTTTTAGTTTTATGATTCAGAGTTGTCTAGAGCATTGATTTTTAGATTAGCTTTGTTTTTGTTTGTATCTTTTTTTTCCTTCTTTTTCCTTGATTTTTCTTTCAGACATCTTTTTACAAGGGAAACAGTTCCATGAAGCCTTGGAAAGCATACTTTCACCCCAGGGGAACATAAAAGAGAGAGATGAAGAACTCCTCAAATGTGGCTACATCGAAAGCATCCAACATATTCTGAAAGATGTCAGTGGAGTGCGGGCTCTTGAAAGCGCTGTTCAGCATGAGACCTTAAAGTATGTAGGTCTACTGGACTGTGTGGCTGAGTATCAGTAAGTATGAAATTGTTTCTGTCACAGTGTGGTGGTGAGTGAATGTCAGGTAGGACAGATGGTGCCTGTCAAGAGATACTTCTTTTCCTGTTTTTTTATTTTTATTTTTTGGTACTGAGCATTGAACCCAGGGGTACTTAACCACTGAACTATATTCCCAGCTCATTTTTATTTTGAGACCATCTTGCTAAGTTGCCCAGGCTGGCCTTGATCATGCAGTCTTTCCTCAGGCTCCCAACTTACTGGGATTTTAGGCGTGTACCCAGCTTACTTTTTCTTCATTACCCCTGCTTCAAGGGATACCTGTAGGTGTTGTGGCATTGCCTCTTTAAAGTCAAACCTATATTATAGGTGAAAGTATTGGGTGCAGGGAAGGAGATATAACAGATACAGAAAGGAAAGATGCATAGTCCTTGATAATCAGTATTTCATAATCAAACTGCTGGAAAAAAAAGTCTAGTTTTCAGTATCCCCAGCATGGTGCCTTCCAGCCTTTCCTTTTTCTCCTCTCTCCAAACAGGATACCAGCCATAGATCCAGTTTGATTCTTACATTTCCTTTTTTCTCAATTTTTTTTATTTTGGGGTTTTTTCTTTTTTCCTGTTTTCCTAAACGTAGTACCATGACCTGTTGGCCCTGAAAATCAACTCTCTTCCTGTTAAGTTGTTGACATGATAGGAAGAATTCTAAACTTACTGAAGCTTCCTGCAGTTTTAAAATTGCTGCTATTACTGTTTTTTCCCAGTTAGTCCAGATTCCAAGAGTAGCTATAACCTGCAGGCACCCTTATTCCAAATAAAGCATGTGAGCAATGATAACAGGATGGGGAGTGGGGGCAGTATCTGTGTGTGTAGCCCATAGAGCTCTAGTTAAAATTTAACTTAAAAAAGAAAAAAAAAAAAGACAGGGCTGGGTATGTAACTCAGTGATAGCATATATACTTAGCATGCATGCATCAGGCCCTGGGTTCAACCTCCAGCATCACCACACACGCCAAAAAAAAAAATTTTTTTTAATTCTTTTGGCAGGGTTTGGGGTTGTGACTCAGTGGTAGAGTGCTTGCCTAGCATGTGTGAGACACTGGGTTCAATCCTCAGCACCACATAAAAAATAAACAAAATAAAGGTACATTGACAACTAAAAAATATTTTTAAAAAAAATTCTTTTGGCAGGGGGAGTACTGGGAGTTTAACTCAGGGTGCTATACCACTAAGCTACATTCCCAGTCCATTTTATTTTTTTCTTTTGAAACAGGATCTCACTAAATTGCTGAGGCTGACGCTGAACTTGTGATTCTCCTGCCTCAGCCTCCCAAGTCACTGGGATTAGAGGCGTGCACCATCATGCCTGGCTTCTTTGCCCAATTTTTAAATGGAGTTATTTGTTTTCTTGTTATTGAGTTGAATTTCTTATATATTTTGGATAATAGCTCCTTATTACATGTATCGTTTATAAATATTTTCTCCTATTCTATGGTTTGTCTATTCACTATATTGTTTCCTGTGCTGAGTAGAAGCTTTTTAATTTGATATGATCCCATTTGTCATTTTTACTTTTGTTACTTGTGTTTTTGGGGTTATATTAAAAAAATCATTGCCCAGACCAATGTTGTAGAACTTTTCCCCTTCTAGAAGTTTTATAGTTTCAGGTCTTATAATTAGGTGTTTAATTTTCAGTCAGTTGTTGTATATGGTGTGAGATAAGGATGCAGATTTGTTTTTCTGCAAGTGGATATTCATTTTTTAAACATTTATTGAAGATACTGTCCTTTCCCTATTGTGTTCTTGGCAGCTTTTTTAAATCAATTGACTAAAATGCATGGATTTATTTCTGGCTCTGTCCTGTTCCATTGGTCGGTGTGTCTCTTATTTTTGCTGGAACCATGCTGTTTTGATTACTAAACTTGATTTATTTATTTGTTTATTTGGTACTAGGGATTGAACCCAGTGGTACTTTACCACTGAGCTATATTCTCAACCTTTTTTATTTTTTATTTTCAGAAGGGTCTCACTAAGTTCCTGATAGTGGCCTTGAATTTGAGATCCTCCTGACTCCGATTCTGAGTCTTTAGAATTACAGGTGTTAGTCACCATGCCCAGCATATAATTTTTAATTTGAAATCAAGAAGTATGGTGCTGGGCACAGTGGTACACTTACATAGTCCAGGCAACTTGTGAGGCTGAGGCAAAAGAATTACAAGTTTAAGACCAACCTCAGAAATTTAACAAGGCACCAAGGACTTAGCCAGACCCTGTTTCAAAATAAAACATGAAAAAAGGGGCTAGGGATGTGGCCCAGTGGTTAAGGTCACTGGGTTCAACACCTGGTACCAAAAAAAAAAAAAGTGCAATGCTCTGGCTTTGTCCTTTTAGCTCAATTGCTTTGGCTATTGAAGATTCAAATTAATATTTTAGGATTTTTTTTTCTATTTCTATGTAATATGACATTGGAATTTTATTAAGGATTACATTAAATCTGTATGTTGCTTTAGGTAGTGAGGACATTTTAATAGTATTTTGTCGATCCATGAATGTGGGATATCTTAAATTTTATTTGTGTCGTCTTCATCTTCTTTCATCAATGTTTTACAGTCTTTGATATGCTACTAAGATATTTCACATTACAGGTTGAACATCTCTCATCTGAAATGTGAAATAGTCTAAAATCTGAAACATTCTAAACTTGAAGTTTTTGGTTTTCATTTTTGTTTTTGCACTAGGGATTGAACCCAGGGCAATTTACCACTGAGCTACATCCCCAGCCATTCTTATTTTTTATCTTGAGACAGAATCTCGCCAGATTGCTGATGGTCTCACCCAGTTACCTCCAAGGCTAGCTTCGAACTTGTGGTTTCCCAAGTCACTGGGATTACAGGCATGTGCCTGTGGCTTAAATCTTAAATACTTAATGTCCTAAGCATTTTGGTTAAGGCTATATATCCAACCAATGTTAATTTCTATAATTATAGTACATTTCTATAAACAGTGGTCCATGGCAGAAAGTTGGAGTTTTCTTTGTTTTGTTTTTTAGAGGCATTTTGATTTATTCAAGTGAAAATTAGAAATACCATCCTCATGGAGTTACTGGGGCTCTCTTCTCATTTAGGTAGATTCTCAGACTTGGCAATGTTACAAAACAACTATAAAGACAATAAAATCTCTAGACCTGTATTGAGTAGTTACTACCCATAAATGGCTATATAGAATTTGAAAGTGGGCAATACAAACTGAGGTGTGCTGTGACTATATACAAACTAGTTTTCAATGCTTTAGAACAACAACAAGGCAAAACACCCCATTAGTAACATTTTCACATTAATTATATGCTGAAATGATAATATTTTAGACATCTGGGGTTAAATAAAATACTAAATACCTATTTTTTTCTTTTTTTAATCATAGCTACTAGAAAGTTTAAAATGACATATGGCTTGCATCTTATTTGTTTTATGTATTTATTTATTTATTTAATGGTGCTGGGGACAGCACCCAAGGGGCACTTTACTGCTGAGCTCTATCCCCCCATTCTTTTTTATTTTTTATTTGAAATAGTGTCTTGCTTGTGAATTGCTGAGGCTGACCTTGAACTTACTTGCTCCCTCCTCACCTCCGAGTTGCTAGGACTTCAGACATCTGACATTTTATTTTATTTTTTAGTGGTGCTGGAGATTGAACCCAGGGCCTTGTACATGTGAGGCAAACACTCTACCAACTGAGCTATATCCCCATTCCTATTTTATTTTATTTTAGAAAGTGCTACTCTAGCTAGGCAGGGTGGCACACCTTTATAATCTCAGCGGCTCAAGAGGCTGGAGCAGGAAGATGGCAGGTTTAAAGCCAGCCTCAGCAGTTTAGCAGGGCTATAAGCAACCTAGTGAAACCCTGTCTCAAAATAAAATATAAAAAGGGCTGGGAATGTAGCTCAGTGGTTGAGCACTCTTGGGTTTAATCTCTGGTAACAGAAAGAAAGAAAGTGCTGTTCTATTTATATAAGCCTGCATAAGTTGTAGCTATCTAGCGTTATATTGACACAAAAGTAACATACATACTTTGTATAAAATTACTCTACAAACTGCGGTTTTATTTTTATTTATTTATTTATTGGTATTGGGGATTAAACTAGGGGCATTTAACCACTGAGCCACATCCCTAACCCTCTTGATTTTTCATTTTGAGACAAGGTCTCACTAAGTTGCTGAGGTTGAACTTGAATTTACAATCTTCCTTCATCAGCCTACCAAGTTACTAGAATTACAGGCTTGAGCCACTGCACCCAGCCAAACTTCTGATTGTGAAATGAAGTTTTAAAAGACAGATTGAACAGATAGCACCAATGATATCTCTCCACTACAATCCCTTTAATATCTATAATTGTAATATAAGAGCCCACCAGGCTGGACACAGTGATGAATGCTTATAATTTCAGTAACTTGGAAGGCTGAGGCAAGAAGGAGCATAGCAATTTTGAGACCAGCCTTAGCAATTTAGCAAGGCCCTAAGCAATTTATCAAGACCCTGTCTCAAAAAATAAAAGGAATGGGGATGTGGCTCAGTGGTGAATATACCTGGGTTCAATCCTCAATACCAAAAAAATAAATAAATAAATAAGACCCCCACCAGGATTGGGGGAGTGAGGAGGGGTATACTGGTTACCTGACACCTCCCTTGGAAAAAAAAAAAATAGCGGGCTGGACACAGTGACTCAGGAGGCTGAGACAGGAGGATTGCCAGCCTTAGCAACAGCAAGGCACTTAGCAACTCGGTGAGACCCTCTCTCTCTAAATAAAATACAAAATAGGGCTGAGGTGTGGATCAGTGGTCAAGTCCTCCTGAGTTCAATCCCTGGTACCAAAAGAAAAAAAAATGGCAAGAAATTTTTATTTTCCCAATATCCCAGACTCCCTTCCTTGTATGTAAACTTTTAGTAGAGGAATCAGTGCCTATTGATTGTTAATGAATTTGAACCCCAGCTTTGGTTTTTGAGCAAGAAAATGTTTGAAGTGCCAAGATACATAATCTTTCATGATGGGGACTTCACTATTGACATATTGTGTTTCATTCTGAAGATTTTGAAGCAAAATCACATTTTAATTCATCTGTCAACTATTAAACAAGTCCAAGGAATTACAAGAAAGTTTAGAAACTTAGAGCAAGGGTTGTTGCTCAGAGGTAGAGCACTCTCGCCTAGCACCTGCGAGGCCCTGGGTTCAATCCTCAGCACCACATAAAAATAAATAAAAACAAAGAAAGTTTAGAAACTTAAACTGCAGAAAAGTTGTTTGTTTTTTTTTTCAGTTTGCCCACATAGTTCACATCTGAGGTTCTTATTTATATTGCTCAGGATCCAAGACCTCATGCACCTTAGGAAAGTGCTCTTCACTGAACCATGTGCCCAGCTGTATCGTGCCTTTCTAATCCTAAAGAAGTGAAACTAGTTTTGGAAAGTGGTGAATAGAAACAGGAGGTCATTGGGTAAACTAAGTAGTAAATGGTACAGAAGAGTTAACCTAATAGAGCTTCTCAGTTTGGACTGTTACCTACAAAGACTTCCTTTGGTTTCTCCTCAGGGGCAAGTTGTGTGTGATTGATTGGAAGACATCAGAGAAACCAAAGCCTTTTATCCAAAATACATATGACAACCCTCTACAAGTTGTGGCATATGTGGGTGCCATAAACCATGATGCCAACTACAGTTTTCAGGTTAGGGCACTGAACCTCTACTTACTTAAAGCTTTGCTCAATGTTTATTTACAGCTGCTTCACTGGTTTTGGTTTTTACCCTATTTTTATCCCACTGCTGTCTCTTATCCTTGTCTCACCTAAGTATCACTGTTTTTCCTTTCATTCTGGGCATTTGTTTAAATAGTTATTTAATGATCACAGACCATTCTTTAGTGTTTTATCTGTCATCTTTGAGTTCCATGTGTCCTGGTGAAGTCTTTGATCAACCCACCTTAGAAACTGAGTTAGAATTATTATGCTTAGTACTGATTGAGTTTGCCCTGGAGTAAGAAGAAAATAAACCTAATTCTGGACCTAATGTAGAAATACTGGTATCACCCTGTGTTTCTTTCTAGGTTCAGTGTGGCCTGATTGTGGTAGCTTACAAAGATGGATCCCCTGCCCACCCACATTTCATGGATGCAGAGCTCTGTTCCCAGTATTGGACCAAGTGGCTTCTTCGGCTAGAAGAATATGCAGAAAAGAAAAAGAACCACCGTATTCAAAAAACAGATTAGAGTTGGTTACAGTGGTGTAGACCTGTAATCCCGTCTGTTTGGGGGGCAGAGGCAGGAGAATCACAAATTCAAGGATAGCTTGGGTAACAGTAAAATCTTGTTTCCAAATAAAAAATAAGGGCTGGGGGTGTAACTCAGTGGTAGAGCACCACTGGGTTCAATCCCCAGTACTGGAAAAGAAAGAAAACAGGATAGTATACCTTTTAGGAATATTAAGTACTTTCTCATTGTTTAGACAGATTCATTGCTATTCACTCCTCTAAAAGAGGAGATATGTCTGAATCTTAAAACCTATATGAACACAAGAAGAAATATTAATTGAAAATATGTTGTTGGCCTGAACACAAGAAGAAATATCAATTTGTTGAAAATGTGTTGTTGGGCTGGGGCTCTATCTTAGTTGGTAGGGTGATTGCCTAGCACATGTGAGGCACTGAGTTCAATCCTCAGCACATAAAAATAAAATAAAGGTATTGTGTCCATCTACTATAAAAAAATATTTTAAAAAGAAAGAAAACGTGTTGTTACTAAAAAGCCAGGAAAATTTAAGATTTAAAGAGCTAGATAATGGCATGTGAACTATGCTGCCTCTTATTATTTACCTGAAAAGAGGGCAATTAGGATTGGTAACCACATTTGTAGAACTTCTGTGTTTCTGGTACAATGCCCAGTCTTTGAATTGAGATTGGAAGGCATTGAGGCTTGATGTGCTAAGCATTTCCCCAAGGTTCACAGGGAGAGAAGGGGCATATCCCCAGGGGTGTAAAGGTTGAGAGAGACCTTTATACTTGTTCTGTACAATTCTGTATTTGTGTGTGTTCTCCCCCCATCCCCATACTGCATATATTCCTGTAACCTGTAATTTCCCCAGCATGTATGTAGAATGAGGATATATATTAGCCAGTCACCACTGCCAATGCAATTTCCTAAAACCTGCTTTTACATATTGGGGTTCTCTATATATTTCATTTAAGGGGAAAAACTTATATTGAACACTAACTGCATACACATGTGATTATTTAACCTGGAGTAAGCATTGCTATCTGTAAAGATGGAGCACACTTACCATTTCATTGACAGTATGGCATACCACATAACCCCTAGAAGTAGCCAGACATGTGGAAATTGTCACTGTAGGTGTTTAGTAACTGCTTCTAGTGTCAGTCAGCTGATGCTGTACATAAAATTTTTATTTAGAACTTTGTAGCTATGGGAACACTAACAAAATCCATTAAGTTTTTTCTATGTTTGATAAGTAATAAGTTGTTCTTGGGTTTGAGAAAGTTAAATAAATGCCTGTTATTGCCCTGGGGGAAGTTGTTCTGTTTTATGAAGTAAGTCTGGTAGCATTTAAGTTACAGTTGATGACTTAAAATAATAGGCTGCTATAAATTTTATTTACTTTCTCTGGTGCTGGGGATCAAACCCAGGTCCTTGTACATGCTAGGCATGTGCTGTACTACTGAGCTACATGCCCAGGACTTTGTGGATTTTGTTTGGGTTTAACCCAAAGGTTCTTTACCACTGAACCACAACCCCAGCCCTTTTTAATCTTTTTTTTTTTCTTTCTTTTTTTTTTTTTTTTTTTTTTGTGTGTGTGTGTGCTGGAGATTGAACTCAGGGACACTCAACCACCGAGCCATATCCCCAGCCTTATTTTGTATTTTATTTAGAGACAGGTTCTCACTGAGTTGCTTAGCACCTTGTTATTGCTGAGGCTGGCTTTGAACTGATGATCTCCTGTCTCAGCCTCCTGAACTAGTGAGATTATAGGCGTGTGCCACCGCACCCAGCCCTTTTAATTTATTTTTATTTTTTTAAACTATTTCTCTTCTGTTTAATTTCTATTTTTTTAAATATCTTTATTATTTTTATGTGGTGCTGAGGATCGAACCCAGTGCCTCAGACGTGCAAAGCAAGCGCTCCACCGCTGAGCCACAATCCCAGCGTCCCCTTTTTATTTTTTGAAACAGGTTCTCATTAAGTTGCTAAGGCTGCCTTGAATTTGTGAACCTCTTGCTCAGCCTCCTGAGTTGCTAGTGTTACAGGTATGTGCCACTGCACCCAGTTTGGACTTTGTTTTTAAATTCAGTTTTGTTACCAACCCAGTAGCTTACTTGGTTCTACATAAACGCACAGAATATGGTGTTCTCAGCAAGCTCTCAACCATAGTCACCTGTTAGAGAATACAGTACAGGTAGGAAAGAGGAGAGTTGTGGGAGACCTTTATACTTGCTCTGTACACTTCTGTATTAATATGGAGGATGGATTCCCATACTGCATATATTCCTGTAGCAAATAATTTTCAAAGTTAAAAATCAAGTGAAACTGTTAAAAGTTGAACTAACCATCTGGGTGTGGTGGAACACACATGTAATCCCAGTGACTTAGAAGGCTGAGGCAGGAGAATTGCAAGCTCAAGGCCAATCTCAGTAATTTAGCAAGACCCTGTCTGAAAATAAAAAAGGACTATGACTGTATCAGTGATAAAGTGCCCCTAGGGTCCAATCTTCAGTACCATAAAAAAAAAAAAAAAAAAAAGTTATTGCCCTAGACATGGTGCAGGAGACTGAAGCAAGAGGGTTACCTGAGCCTAGGAGTTCAGGATCATCCTGGACAACATAATGAGACCCTATTTCTTTATTTAAAATTTTTTTTAAAAGTTATCACTACTAAGACAGGAGAAAGCCAAATCTGAATTTCTGAATTGAGTCACAATTTTTCAAGAATTAATATGTAACTTATTGATTTTTGGATACTACCTTTTCTCCTAAGTGATGCACAGCATATTAAAATTCTGTGAAATGAAACTGAGGTTGCACAATAAGGAGAGATTTTCTAATTAAGCATTATTAAAACATTTTTTAAAAGAGATAAATATTGCTCTTTAGGAGGCTTCCTCACAGAAGTTCAGGACATAACCTTGTAGTTTTTACTTTTACAAAAAATGTATTAGATTCAAAACTAACTATATTCCCTTTTCTGATGTAATTTTGCTCTTTCTTAATATATTCAGCAGCTGACAAAAGCTTCAAAGTGGTACTTAAAAACAATTTCAATTTAAAAATATAAGAATGGCTTTTTCCCCCCTTGAAACATGGTCTGTTCCTCAGAGCCATTAGACCATGACAATCTGAGAACATTAACCCCTATAAATCTATTACAATTCCAGGAAAATTTGTCAACATATGACCTCTGGTTTTTCATATGTGTTGACCCTGGTAAATACAGGAAGAGGGTTTGTCACAAGTCAGTGTTTCTAGGTAACCAATTTGCCTGCTGACTTTAAAAGGAGCTGGAGACGGGTAATTTGTTTAAATCACTGCAGCTTTCCACCTGAACAATTAGACATTTGATTATAACCTGCCCTATACCCTCCCTCCCTACCCCCACAGAAACGTGAAACAAGGGAATAGTGGAAACTTATATAAAGAAGCACTTCAGGTGTTTTGAGCTGATACCTGAAGAAAAACATTATTTAAACATTTGCTAAATAAAAGGCAGAACTGACTCTTCCTTCTAGTCCCACAGGCCTAAAAGTTAAGCACAAATTTGCTGCTCCTGGATGTCTAACCAGCTGATCCTCTTAAATAGAAGGGAGGTTGAGAGAATCTCTTTGGGGAGATGCTCATTATTGAACAAAAAGCTTGTATGTCACCTTGACACTAACAGTTTTCAGGTTTGAGTAATGCAGTTGTGAAAAAACTAATCAAAATGATGTTCTGGGTTAGGGTTTTAGTCTTTCTTTTTTGATTAAAAGAAAGTGAAAGAAAGTAAATAGAACATTACAGATAAAGCCCTTGTGTTTGTTTCCCTAATCCCATTTCCCTCTCCCTTGGGACAAACATCATAAATTTGGTATGTATCTTTCCAGTGTATCCTTTTTATAGTTTTATTATATGTATGGTCTCCATGAGTAACATAGTCCTACTTTCTATGCTTTTTTAATTTTTACTTGGTTTGTCTTGACTCCTCCCCCCACAGTGCTGGGTATCAAACCCAGGCCTTATACATAGTGAACAAGCTTTCTACCACTAAGATTAACCCACCACTCTCAACATTTCTTTCTGAGATCTGTCCAGGTTGACCACTTCTAGATCTAGTGCTTGGGCTTTAGCTGCTCTCTAATATTTCCTCATTTTTTATTGTAATACTAATGGTCTCTAAGGCTGACAATGTTTTGGTACTATGGACAATACTGCAGTGAACACCTTTGCATGTGTGTCCCAGTACATACATACAAGGCATATGCAATTAGAGTGGAAAGCAGGGTGTGAATTATGGCTTTGCCATTTACTAGTTCTGTGACCTTGGACATGGTTACCTGACCTCCTGACCTAATTTTTTCATTTGTAAATTCAGGGGTATTTTAGTCAGCTATTTCACTGACCTGACAAGAACAATTTAGAGGAAGAAAAGTTTATTTGGGGCTCACAATTTCAGAGGTCTCAGTTCACAGCTGTCTCCATTGCTCTGGGCCTAAGAGTAAGGCAGAACATCATAGCAGAAAGGTATCACGGAGGAAAGCAGCTCAGGATGTGGCAATCAGGAAGCAGAGCTCTACTCATCAGGGACAAAATATAAACCCCAAAGGCACTCCCCCAGGACCTGCCTCCTCCCAACACCCAACTGCCCACAGTTACACCCATTAATCTGATTAGGTCACAGCTTTCCTAATCCAATCATCTCACCTCAATTTTCTTGCATTGTTTCACTTGTGAGCTTTTGCAGGACACACAATCTAAATCATAACAAGAGGGAATAATAATCCTTAGAGTTGTGAGAATTAAATGAGCCAACCACTTAGAACAGTGCCTGCTACAGAGCGGGAACAAAATGTCAGCTGTCGTCATTGTCAAATGATCAGACCTGGACATGTCTTTGCTCGGTGACAGCTTGAACATTACTGCCAAATTTCTCTTCATAATGGTAATATCAACTTACACTCCCACGAGTAATGTCTGGAATTTCCTGATTTTCCACGTATCTTAAGACCTTTTAGTCCCTACCTTTTAGGGTGAACATTCATTTTTTATTTGCAACACCATTACTGCTTGCCTTTGAAATCTGCTTTAAAATGGGATTGCCCTCTAGTGGTGAGAGAAGTATACACTGCAGTTATGGGGCAGGATCCAAAAAAGAACAGATTTTCTTGTATCTTGGGGTAAATTAGGCAATTTTGGTTGCTATTAGGTTTGAATAAGATCAATTACATGATTTTTCCATTATCTACTCTATTTTTAGGCAGCTTGTACTTCTTACTTTTTCTACTATGGTGATAGCCTTTTCTGTAAGTCCAAGATGAAGGAAGATCTGTCTGCAAAGCCCAGCCAAGCCTCTTGCAGCTGAATGCATCTGGGTCACTGCTCAGAAAAGAGGAGTGAGATAAAATAGGAAAGAGGCTACTTACCAAATGGGCAGGAGACTGCCATTCCTTGAGCAGTCTTGAATCTCCAGTGGGAAAGACGGTAATGTGAACATCAGTGCTAGTCACACAAGCACCACAGAAGGCTGAGCTGAGTTGGCTCAAGAGGGTCGCCATTAATATCTTTCTAGATTGGCCTCAGATTACCTGCTGTGAAGACTTCTGGAATCAGTCTGAAAGAAGTTAAGAATGCTTAAGATGTTAAATATTGATCATCAAAGACACCGATGCATTTTAAAATATCTGTACAAAAATGTTCGTGAGAGTTAAGGATATAAACAAACTATATTAGCCGTGGCGCACACCTGTAATCCCAGCAACTCAGGAGGCTAAATTAGGAGAAGGGCAAGTTCAAGGAAAGCCTGGGGAATTTAGTAAGAACCTGTCTCAAAATCAGAAGTAAAAAGGGACGTAGCTCAGGTAAAGCACCCCTGGGTTTGGCTCCCAGTACCACACACAAAAAAAAAAGTTTTGGAAATGTTACATATCTTTAAATTACTGTTACTAAATTTATATCAAAATTTATAATAATAAAATAAAACCTAAACAACAGCAAGTAAAGTTTGGTTGTAATTAGAAACATACATTCAGAGCAATCTGGACTGCCCCACCACGCCAGGTTCATGTCCATTTCTAAGCTTCTGTTTGTAAGGATTCCTTTGCCCAAAACAACTTCTTTCATCCTTTTGTTCAGCCATATCTTTAATTGTCTAAGTGCCTAAACCCATACCCCAATCCTACCCATCTCCAGCCCAAGTTTTACCTGTTCCCCAGGAAGCAAGTTAGTGGAGAGAGGAGAAGCTGCAGAATCATGCAGATGTGGGTGTGAGTCCCAGCCCTGCAGAGTTAAGTAAGTCATTTCACCCTTCCATGCTTGTTTCTTCAGTGGTAA